AGTTCGAAGTTGAATATCTTATCCAATCAGCTACAATTTTTGTCAAATAGTTACACTGCAGTCGTAATTTGGAATTCACACTTCCAGTCGGATTGTCTGTCTGTCTGTCTACCCATGAAACTCTTTTAAGGTAGTATTTACCATAGACAGACATCGGTTGGAGAACCATTGAAAACCTGGGAGCACTGGGTATCTCTATTTCATCCTAGTACGCACCCACAACCTCGATAAGGGTCGAACTTAGCACCTTCAGGTTTCGCTGTGAAAGCGTTAACCATTTAGTCACTGGCTTTGAATCTAGTGGTTCATATTCGCCTACTTCTGTCAATTCATGATTTAGTGCGACTCCTGACCATAAACTTTAAACTACATTACCGCATATTAGTGAGATGCTTCGAGGTGGATATCCTGAAGTTCTAATGTGAAGCCGTAACTTGTGGGGTCAACCAGTCAGAAGTGAAGCGGATGCCAACTAAACACCTTGGTAGGTTATGGGAATATTTCATATATGTTCCTTGGCATATACGTGCAAAGTGGTAGACACGTTCGACAGAGACATGAAGAGGCAATACATACAATCTTTCATGATCCAGTGACTTATTGGATTAAGCTTTGACGTCTGACTCGATAGTCGCTGGGTTCTAGACCCTATGGAAAAGCTAACACTTTTTGAGATGCAGGAAAATACATCTGACGAGTCCGAATCGGACGAAAGCGATTTCCTGGATTTCGTTGCTAGCTGGTATCGAGCAAACCAGCATCACTAAACCGCTTATACCTTACACAAAGTGTACAGCATGTGTGGAACTTAAACACAAGCGAAACAACGAAGAATACATGGGTTTCCCAATCTTATAGATAAGAAAGAAATCATTTAAGCTTGATTTATTATTGTGGTATATCTTCACAGTAATTAATTCATCAATAGACTGATCCTGACTCTTTTCCCCTCGTTTTAACAATCTTCTTCTTTGAAAAGTAAACAACTGTTTGCGTAGATTTATTTTCCTTCAAATTTCTGTTTTTAGTTTCTCATAGGATATACTATTCGTTTACTTTCTTTTGTTAATGAAAAACATGAATATTGGGCGGAAAACAGTCTAACAATGTTATTCAACAATTAAGTCTGATTTATTTCTGTCAACATTTATTTACCCTCACAAACCAAAGATCTATTGTAGGAAAGGTTGAAATTGTTTTCTTCGGGTGATTTTAGTTTTCTTAGAAGCTTCACTGTTGTTCAATGTTTCTTCACATCAAATTTCATATGAAATAAAAGCCAATGAATAGTATGCAATTCAATCAGAATTCACAAGCAAAATTACTAATTTTGAAATAGGTTGACAGCTTTCAATGATAATTTTGTTGGTTGAAGGTACACGTAGATTATCAGCAAGGAGACCCGAAACATAAATTGTATTCCTTCTTATGACTAATCAGCAAGAAAATATGAAAAGATTAGTGTTCCATCAATGTTTTGAAATGACATAACGTGAGATTTTAAGTGGATCGATATAATTCATTTAGTGATGAGAATTCTAGATTAAAGATAAGGAGTGAAGTGGTGGAATGTGTCTGTCTGTACCACTCACTTGACGAATTACATCAACTCGAACAGGCTAGTTACTGATGAAATCTCAACTCAGATAAAGAAGGTTCTTTTGGTATTTACCAAATGACATCAACCATGGTATTGACTAGGGGAGGTATCCGACTACTTATCAAATGACAGGTATACTGGGTTACAGTTCGTCCTCCCCTTTCATACGACTGTAAGACATGACTGTTAAGGGTAAGAGGTATGAAGCGGTTACATGACTTTGATCATAGGTGTCTTAGCGGCATTGATCGTGCACGGTGGAGTGACTGTGTTCACAGGGTTGAGGTAAGATGGAAGGTATTAGAGAACGAAGGGGACCCGGTTGATGAGATTGTGTACCTTGGGTGTCTGGGACGGCTTGGACACGTATTGGGCATGGTAAGAGAGGTAGGATAAGGTTGTGAGAAGTTTCAGGATGGTGAGACTAAGACGTGGGCACTAGTGGATGAGGTGTTTGACTGTTGGCCTGAGGTATGTAGGACGGTGTATATCACTTGGCTGGCATTCTCGGGATGACTGAAATCAATGGTTTAGGACTTTTGATGAAATGGCTGGAAATCGGTCACAGTAGTGTATATTTATTCACTCTTTGACGTCTTCTGAGGCTTCAGGATTTTTACCCGCCTTTATCTTCAGACATTTTCTCCTCCTATATGCTTTTGTCTACTTCGATATCAGTCTACTTTTATCCACTTGTTTTTTGTGGACTACTGTGAAGTGTGACGAGGCCACTGGAATCGATGCACTTGTGTGCGAGGTTCTACTTTGATGTTATCTATCTGCATACCTGTCTGATGGGCCGCAATTGCTCGATATCTATGTCGATTACTTTCCGGTCACTAATTTGTTTGTGTTTTTGATCATTGTATTCGTGTGTTTGCATGTATGCCGGTTTTGTGTTTACTGTTTTGCCCACAAATTCCATTTTGGATTGGTCGAATCTTAGAATTGTTAATGAGATATACCCCTTTCGAATGATTATCAAGTATTAAAAATAGTCTCATTGGATCATGAAAATGTATCAGAAGAGAATTCAGCGAAGGAAAGTTTCTTTTCCACGAATCGGTCTCAGAAACTATAGAATCGAAGTTATGGTTTTAACAAAAGTATATCTATTAATAGGTGATTAGTCAATACAAGGTCAACTACATAGTCATCAAAAACTGTCTATTAGAGCACAGCAGATCATCAAATTGTAAATAAACACATAAATAACCTAGGAAGTACCTCGACAGCGGCCTGCCTAAACATTGGGCTACCATACATTTTCCCCGGAATGTCATAAAATTATCCCATTTCAATTGTTTTAATCTCTCGCACATTTTCCAAATGTTTTCAAACTGCAGTTTATCAAGGGAACAGGTCACGGCGGCAGGAAATTGTCATATAAATTCACGAAAGTACAACACATCACCATTCCTAGGATAACTCTGTCGAATTGCAGATTTTTACACCGGTTAGATAAACTAGCATCACAGAAATTTCGCTCTATTTTCTGGTCACTCACCAGCAGTCTAGATTGCAAAGCTAATGTGTAATAATTATTTTGCTGAAAAATATTGAATAGGCAATCAATTTGTTGAAATATTACATGCTGAAAATTCCATACTGTATCACACATGGTATCTGGAATAAAGCGATTATTATTATTACCTCTTTCGAACATAGAGATCAGGTATGAACTGAGGGATTGCTAAGTCTTTTGCTGTATTATCATTATCATTATTATTTTCCCCTTGGGTTCCTAGTGGAACATAGGCCTTCAGTAGAATGCCTCCATTGCACTCTGTTCTCTGCAGACTTCTGAACCTGGCTCCACGACTGCCCATAAGCTTTCATTTCCTCCTCACATGATCTCCATGTCACCCTCGCCTCGGACACCCAACTCGTCGTTTCCCCTTCGAGTTCCACTCGAGGACCTGACACGTGATGTCCCCAGTCGGTCTTCTCAGTGTATGCCCAATCCATCTCCACTTCCTTCTGCATATTTGTTCAGCGATAGATTGTTGGTAGGTTCATTTCCCAGTCAGAGTTCCTTGTTGCTTATTCTTATTATTCTGGCCATCTGATCTTCAGTAATGAGTGAGCGTAGGTGGCAGTTGTTGATGAATGTCTGTAGTTTGTTGGAAATGCGTTAGATGATGCGCCAAGTTAGTGAAGCATACAGGAGCACTGACTTGACGTAATTGGTGTTGAAAATCCGGATGTTGTTCACGCTTTATGCTGAGTGCAGAAGACCTCCACACTGGTTTCAGGTTAATGAACGCCTGTCTTGCTGTCTTTTCGATACTGGCTTTGACTTTCTCGTCTGTGCCGCCGCCTGTAGTTGAAACGATGCTGCCTAGACATGTGGAAGAGGCTACTTGCTTTAAGTTTCTCCCGTTAATGGTGATTGGTACTTATTGTTGATGCTGTTTTTGGTTGGGTATCTTCATCACCTCTGTCTTCTCTGTATGCACTTGAAGTCCCGTCTTCGCTGCCCTGCCTCTTCTGTCAACTTGTTAGTTTTCGCCTGTAGATCTTCGAGTTTGTGCGACTAGACATTAGACATAAATCACCATCGGCGAAATCCTAATCTTCTAGCTTTTAATCAAGTGTTTTGCTGTGTATAGGTTTATTTGATATGAATTTATAAATGACGTTGAAAGATTCTAGTAGAGTAGAGTAACCATAGTTAACCAAACGCTGAAGAATTGTTAATCGCTGTGAGCTCTTACCCAGCCATGCAGGATAGTGTTCTGAGATGCGCTTGAGTAGAACACGCCTGTATGACGCATGTAACTAGCTCCGAAAACGCAAGTGAATCGGTAGACACACATGGAGGTGGCACAAACCGGAGATGAAAGTTTTCTTCTGTGCTTTACATAATACATTCTTGAGTATCTCTGCCAGTATATCTCTTTTGAATCCAATAATGAGAAATAGTTCCTTCTTTGGAACCATAAGGTGAACTCTGGTCACTTTGTTCCACCAGAATCTTCTTTCGAAGTTATTTATAAAGTTAAATCAAACCTTTTGAAGGGAGTGTGGATTCGTCACGTGAACACAGTAGAAGCCTTGACAATTTATTGGTTCAATTTTTGATGACCTTGTATTGACCGATTAGTTATTGGTTGATATAAACTTTTGTTGCATCTATAAGTACTATTGTACAGCTTCTGAAAATAACTCATGGAAAAGAATATTTCCTCACAGCTCTTAACAAATCTTTGCTGAATAGTACATTCTTGTGCTTTGTCTGTGTAAGTATCTTTGTACCTCACAGTCTTCTTACTTGTAATTAGGGGTTTCCCAATAGTAAATATTTTATCAAGAGATATATATGTTAAGTACACAAACTCAAGATAACAAAGTGTCTACAATTTCTCATGCAAAAATGCATTCTTCTTTTCTTCAAAAGGTCTTATTATCCTTCTCTCCTGTATTCTATTTCCTATTGGTTGGTCTAACAATGATGAAATTGTTCAAATCTGTGGTCAACGAAGTTCACGATTTGATTTGGGTAAGTAATTGAGTGTTTCTCGTAAATTTAATATTTATGAAAGTGCTAACATACGTATTTTCGTCATTGTGTTAGTTGATATTTCGGTTCTTGTAATTCACATTTATGCTTGTTCATCTGATCCTTTATAATCAATTGATCTTAGGGGATTAGTCATACAACTGCGCACCGGAGATAAGAATAACGGTCACAACTGAACAACCTTGAGCAATCAATAATGCTAATTGAATACTAACCAATAGGAGAGCAGTGACGAATAACATTCACCTATAGCGTTCACAATTCCATTCAGATATTGTTTTTAAGTTTTCTGTAGACAATGGAATATTTTGAAGAAGTAAATTGTGTTACTGAAATGGAAATATGACTTCTCGTCTACAGGATAAATATCTGACCAGCAAAGACTTCAGGCTGCGTTGAAATTGCTCAAGGGTGACCTTGAGATTTCAGGCATTTCCTGAAATTATCCAAACTAAGGCTGAAGGTGTTAATTAGTTCTTATTGAAGTGACTAAACACTATTTACGAGGTATGCTCATCTTAATTTTCGTTATTTCCTCAATTCACTTGCTTATTTGCTTATAAATTCAACCAAGATGTTCTCGGAGAAAAGCTTAGGTGGCTATTAAAGTAAAATTGTAAACAGCCACGTGGTAAGATAACTGTATATAAGTTGCTGTAATTTTTCCATTTGAACATCAATGAATAGACTGATGACCACTTATACGGAAGTTGTTTTTTTATCTCCTCACCTTTTGTAATACGTTCATTATCGTTGGAATGTGTTTTGAACATTGAGGGATACTGAGTTAGTTACTTCAAGGTCATTTGATGGTTTATTGGTTGTGGCCACTACTGCTTACCTTCATCAACTACCTTTAACAATACTGGTCAAACACAGTTTAGCATACTGGATGAATTCGAAGGGCTTATGTCGACTAGTGAAAATCACTATGTAAGCCGAGAAGGTGAATTGTTACGAAACACTGGAAAAAAGCCTGATTTCCTATAGGGTGATATCGGTTTTAAACTGTACAGCTCTCATGAGGTTATCTCATGCGTAAAGTTGATCTTGCTATGACCGGCAGTATGACCTAACAGTTTACGAGCGATACGAGCCTAGCAGAATACGAACGATACGAACCTAACACGCAAACGAATCGACTCTTACGCATATCAGAACGTCAACCACCACAACAACAATACCATCGACGCGCGAAGACGAGACGAGAAGACAGACCGTTGACAGCGGTGCTGAATATATACATTTCTGAGTGACCTTGACACTACTAAATCCACTTGTAGGTAAAAACGGTTAACAACCAATGAGAATTCACCTTTGGGAGCAGGTGAGAGAAATACTAGTAAAGGTGTGAAAACAGCCATATAGGTTATTTTAAGGTCATGGGCTAAACAGGAGACGAAAGCTATGTAAAATTAGCGGGTATTTAACAGATCTAATACCGGCATATTAATCTCGCATGTCGGTGCGTGATGATAAGCAACTTGAAGTTGATAAATCCCCAATAAACATTCAAAATTAAGTTAGCGCCCTGTTAGCATTGATGAACTGCTTCAAGATGAGGTTCTTGAAGTTCTAGCGAGACGTTGTAACTGACAAGGGAAACCAAGTCGAACATATGGACAGGTAGGTACTCAACAACGATACTGGATAGAGGTCGCACCATATTGTGAAGTGATAAAAATAGGAGAATACAGGTCACTGGATTCTGATTCGATCCTTGGCATGAAGGGATAGTGTGGGTGCGCATTGCCAAGGCGTACCATACTAGGATAAAACAGCTGTTCAGTGCTCCCAGGATTTAAGTGTTTCGCCAGCTGATTTCAGTCTTTGATGAATACCAACTCGAGATCAACAAATCCTAAAAAATCATCAAAATTGTACTAATCTTCTAGTTTATGTTGGATTTCAAATGAGATTTATAGTGAAATGGAAAGTCCATGAAATCTTAAGCCTGGATAACAATAGTACGACTACAGTATTTACCATCCGAACTGTAATCATTCTTACCGCTGTATCATATATGAGTGTTAAGGGAAGGTGATAAATTAACTAACCTCGGGACTGTAACAATTTCCATTTCATAACTTATGACTGATCAACAGAAAATCTTATATAAATTAGCTTATAAGCGTGTTATTGTTCCTTATAACTGGTAATAATTGTAGTAATAAGAGTTTATTGTTAAGGATTATTCCCTTCTTTTGGATTATAAACTATATACCGATTTGGCTTCTCCGTTATATTTCAATTTCCAACAACAATATTGTCACACTTTATTGTTATACGTTCAAGCTAAGATGTTGGTTGTAGTAAGTTAGACAAGATTTCAACTCATAGGCATACCTTATGATCACTTAAGAATTTCATTCAGAATACACTGGGAGTCTATATGTACTTATTGTTAGTCAGGAAACATGATACATACTTAGATGGTTTCTGAGATCTGAACTTTAACCAACTTTTTTAAAGTTTATGACGCTGTTATTAATTTTACAGATGAAGATAACTAACTGTTCTACATAAATTATGTTTTTGAATGGACCATTTATTTCTTTAATCTTGATACTGAACGCTACAAGTCTTCAGCTAAGGGGAACTATGAAGTCGGTTATATTGTGAAGCTTTAGCAACAATCACTTTTATGATATTCATAGGTTGTGGTCGTCACTCACAGGTGAGATCGATAATGCTTTGATTAAGGTTTTGAAGAGTGGATATTGAATCAACCAGCAGCGGGATGTCAGTGGAATTAGTCATCATTCTATATAACAGTTGAGCTGTATTTTCGTTGCTTACATTCTCTAAGAAACCTATATATATGCTTGAATAATTTAGATTCAATTAACACAGGTGTTTTCATTTGCTTTTCAACTTCTTCTGTGGGTTGGAAATATTTCACTTTCATGTGATTATGTGGTGAGTGAATGATCCGATAAACAAGGTACTGGTATACACAAGTTGTCGTGTATTGTTCACGAACATCCATTACCCATACAATCTATGGTAATAAAACTTAGAACAAATGGATAATGGACGGTGGCTAGCAGAAGAATCCATGACTCGCGTTCCATCTTATTTTGGGACTCGTCAGCTTCCAAGTGACTAATGCTCTTCCCACTGGGACTCGAATCCAAGACTAGTTGCTTCAAACTTCGAAGTGTTATCCACTGAGTTACGATAGCCACACATTGTGCAATGGGTGTAGTATAGTTGTGATCTATCATCACTGTTAAAACCGTATACATGGTCAGTATCGAGGCATCCACATAGATGCTCATATGCCAATAGTTACCTATCATTTCGGTCGAATTAATGATGGAGATTGACAAGCTAACTATAACATCAAACATATTGTCCCTCTGTTTGAAGTATTGATCTCTAAATGACCCATTGTTGGAAATAATGAACTGTTTGCTGCTTTTGTTTCGCATTTCTACCGATGAAACATGTTGTCTGCACCAGTTTTGTAATCAGATCTGCTTATCTGTGGATTTAAGTTAGGCGGTTCACTTTTTTATGGTTAGTAAATGTTATCATACGAACGGTTACCTTGAATACTTAGATCATGATACTGATATCATCTACGTTTACTGAGTCATGTTGGAAAATGTTGACATCAGTGTTGACCAGTCTGTCTCAGGTCACAGTCATCGGTGTATATACAATTCTGGTGAACAAATGTGTTAACGGTAAGCTGTCACTACTGATCACTCTCACTCTATTTTTGGGAAGCTCCGCAGCAATGGCGGTGTCGCAAGACAAACTCACCAATACTGATGTCATCAGTTTCCAACATGACTCAGTAAAGGTGAATATAGAAGGATGTACAGTTCCAATTGTAGGATTCAGTTGACAGTGAACACAATTCTACAATGTTGTATTTGGTTCATTGTATTATTATTATTTGTCTCTTGAGTTCCTAGTGGAACACAGGAATTCAGTAGCACATTGCCATTTCACTCTCTTCTCTCCAGTCTTCTCAACCTGACTCCACCACTCACCGTAACATGTCGTTTCTTCCTCACACCATGACCTCCATCTCACTCTCGCCTCGAAAGCCCAACTCGTGATATCCCCAAATGGGGATGATGGGTTGTTGGTTGGTTGGTTCGTTGCCAGGTCAGAGTTCCTTGTTGTTTATTCATGTTATTCTAGCCATCTGATCTGATCTTCAGTATCCAGTGAGTGTAGGCGGCAGCTATTGATGTAATGCGTGTGTGCAGTTTGTTGGAAATGCTTCTCATAACGCGCCGCCAACTCTCTCAACCATCACCTAGAAACACTGACTGACTGACTGACTGACTGACTTGACTGAATTAGTGTTGAAAATGTGGATGTTGTTCACGCTTTATGCTGAATACAATGCAGTGCAGAGAATCGCAGTGCAGTAGATCTCCACACTGATTATTTCAGATTGATGCAGGAAGGCCTGTCTTGCTGTCTTCTCGATGCTGGTTGGCTTTCACATCCTCACCTATGCTGCCGCCGCCGCCGCTACCTGTAATTGAGACGATGCTGCCTGTCTGTCTGGGTAGGTGAAAGAGACAACTTGCTTTCGACTTCTACCATTCATGGCGATTGGTGCCTGTCACTGTCATTGTTACTGTTGTCGTTGTTGTTGGTGGTGGTGTTTGTTGGTTTGGTATCTTCATCACCTGTGTTTTCTCCACGTTCACCTGAAGGGAGTTCCATCTTCCTTCACTGCCTTGTCGCTTCTGTCAACTTGTTAGTTTTCGAGATGTGTAGATGTTGTAGTTTGTGCGACTAGACATTAGACATAAATCATCATTGGGGAAATTTAAATCTTGTAGAGTCTTTTCATTTGTCAAACAGCGTATTCGCATCTTCTCGCTCACCATAGTTTGTTGTATGAGGCAGTCCAATCTAGTCGACCGCAATCAGGAAGATGATCGGTGATAGTAGGCGACAACCTTGTCTTACCCTTGTCTTCACTTGGAAGGCATCACTGGGCTTTTTATTGTGAATCACTTGATTCAATCTACAAAGTACAAAAGGTGTTGGAAAATACTTGTTTTTAATTACTGAAGCTTTGAGAGTATACATAGAGAAAGCGAAATTGTACGTGTAAATACCACTGTTCTATTTTCTCTTTACCATTTAACAATTTCTATCCTTAAAACAAATGAGTTAATTTTGTTTTACTTTTTTTTTGTCTAATCATATAAATTTTCAGTGCATTTGCCAACTATCTATTCTTTTCTCCACTGGTCACTTTTTACTGAATTTCCTAAGTATTTTTAATTTCTTTATTTTTCAACTCACAGTTAATTATTCCAAGTGTCAAATGCTTCCATTAACTCATATGTAACTCTGATTTTCCATGACATTTTTTAAACAATTACCATTAGGGATTTTCATTCATAAACCATACCTAGACAGCATCATCTCAACTACAGGCGGCACAGATGAGGATGTGAAAGCCAACCAGCATCGAGAAGACAGCAAGACAGGCCTTCCTGCATCAATCTGAAATAATCAGTGTGGAGATCTACTGCACTGCGATTCTCTGCACTGCATTGTATTCAGCATAAAGCGTGAACAACATCCACATTTTCAACACTAATTCAGTCAAGTCAGTCAGTCAGTCAGTCAGTCAGTGTTTCTAGGTGATGGTTGAGAGAGTTGGCGGCGCGTTATGAGAAGCATTTCCAACAAACTGCACACACGCATTACATCAATAGCTGCCGCCTACACTCACTGGATACTGAAGATCAGATCAGATGGCTAGAATAACATGAATAAACAACAAGGAACTCTGACCTGGCAACGAACCAACCAACCAACAACCCATCATCCCCATTTGGGGACATCACGTGTGAGACCAGACCCTCTAGTGGAACATGAATGGGAAACGACGAATTGGGCTTTCGAGGCGAGAGTGAGATGGAGGTCATGGTGTGAGGAAGAAACGACATGTTACGGTGAGTGGTGGAGTCAGGTTGAGAAGACTGGAGAGAAGAGAGTGAAATGGCAATGTGCTACTGAATTCCTGTGTTCCACTAGGAACCCAAGGGACAAATAATAGGAATAATATAATTATTTCTAAACCATATAGCCATAGGATGTGCTTAGCTGTTGAGAATGATAACTGTGAAGAGAAATTACTTATTTTTATGTTCACATTCTTTTATTTCGGATAAGTTAACTGTTTCACAGATGATGTTTATTACAAATGAATTAGCGGTCAATAACACAGAAGACATCGTAAGATTCCTGTAAATTCACATCTTTCAAATTAGAAAATATCTTCTTCGTTCAAATGGAGATTGTTTATACTTGAATTACCTTCAAAATGTGAAGTATTCAGTGATCAAAGAAATACATTTCATTCCAAGTATGAATCATTCATTTAACTGATCTATATTCAACTAGATATTGGGTAACTTTACACTACACAACAGAATCTTTGTGGTGATCATTTTGATCTATAATTAATAGTGACACTGACTGTTCTGGAACTTCATTTGTATCATTTCTGCTCTGATTATTACTTGATGAATGAGATGGCTAGTGACTAGAAACAATGGAGTTATTTGTAAATATGCTATAACGGTGATTTGAGTGAACATGGATAGTTCATTAGCCACTATTGGATATGCATCGAATGACCTTGACACTATTGACTCACATAGATTGACTTATAACTATACTGAAGTCTAACTGAATCAAATCAAATGACTGACCAGCTGATTCTTCAGATATTATCCTATAATATCTAAATTTCAGATCAGAAGGGGATATTTGTAAATGACAATAGTTGCTTATGTAATTGTAATGATAATTATTTCCTGACTTTTATACAACAAATAGTCAAACGAGTGTAATATGAAGGTTATTAAGCGGACAATACTAGGCCCTTATTAACAGATGTTAGACTGAACCTCATTCTACCCTAATAAAAGCTACATCAGTCAGTGCTGTTTCTCAATATCCGTCACCCGCTTCGTATTTATTACGTAAAATGCTACGTTAGATGTCAACACTACCTCTTTAAAGATTCTACACACGCATCCTACCAATGATGAGAAGACATTTGTGTAGTTCTTGTGAACTTTTGTGCATCTCTGGGTATTCCTGTAGGGATTTGTTTGTCAAGACTACTCGGGTTAAATATCGTTCACCCACCGATCTAAACTATTTTCAACCATTTTCACTGTCAATCTCTGATATTTCTATGCATGTATTAGTCATTGTATATATGGAGACTGGATAAGCTTCTCCATTGGTCATCATTAAATCATCTGTAGTAATAACAGTAGATGAAATCGAATGATGTCACCACACTTCAAATATGAATCAGCCACCATATTTTTTTTACTAAATCCCATCGAAACCGAAACGAAGTAAGCTGCATCGTCGGATTACAATACGATTTAACGACTACACTAAGTTGTTAGGTATGTCTATATGCCTTATATTTCATACTTAGGGTATATTTGAACTGTTTTACTTCACGGTCTTTTTCCCACACATAAGTGATATTTCGTATGACCTGCTTGCGTTCTGATTGACTTCTACCTCTTTAAGTGTATATATACTAATTAATCCTTGCCTTTCAAGGTTACTGTAAACTCTATAAATAGGGTCTGTTTTCAGTCCAAGATACAATAAGCTCATCTGATTTCAAGTTGTTTTTTTTATATTTCTCTTTGCGAATCACTCGCGTTGAATTGTCTCAATCCTCGATTATCAATCGTTAAGTATTTTCGTTGGTTTTCACAACTGCACATCATAATATAAGTGACTTGAGAACTTACTTGCACTGAATTCGAGACCATCAAAAAATGTCTATTCCACTCATCATTATTATTATTTACACAATCATACCAAATAAAGAATTATGGAACGGGTGTTTTAAAGCTATTCTGAAGGGTCGTTAACAATTCGCAGATATTATCCTGCGTTGAATATAACTGTGTTTTTATTGCTGTAAGTCTTATGAAAACTCGTTTTAGGATAAATTTACATAAACTTGGTTTAATTTAATCATAATCCTATTCTTTCTATGTGTCTTTCTTTTAAAAACAATTCAGGTCATTGCCAACTTGGATGGGCTTATGTCATTACAATAATGAGTGGTCTGTTGTCTGTATTTTGTGCTGTCTTACCAAATCTATGCTTTCCAAGAATTTTACGTGAATTGAAACAGCAGAAATCTCAGTATATGATAACAAATCAAGGGCAAGCCAGTGAAATGATTCCGCATATTTTATCGCATGACATTACGGCAGCAGCAGCAGCAGCAACACAAGGACCACCATCCATTGAAACTGCTTCAACCAGTTTACACATGTCTGATCCACGGATTCATCGGATTGGCTTTGAATCGCCATGGTTAAAAAATTGGAGTTGTTTAAATCCAACTGGTCAAGGACAACCTCATGGACCAATGGTGTTTCTTCATCCTGATTATAACCTACAGCCTAGAGGAGTGGGGTATACAGATAATCAACTAGGATATAGTCAAGGGAGTTTAGATGATGGTTCATCTGTTGGAACTGAGAAAAAGTCTGTTTGTGCAATGAAATCAAGTGCTTCAGAGAATAAACTGCAGAATACAGAGAATAGTAAAATTACCAGTAATAACAACGATAATAATAACGCTAATTAGTATCTGAGTAATTATTTCATTAAAAATCCCACATCTTTTTATTGAAATGCATGAAATCTTTCCCAGTTCCCAATTGATCATAGATCTATCATGCACATCGCACGATTTTATCTTATATATTCATCACTTTTATTCATATATTGATGAGAAATAATCAACCGTGTAAAATATTTATGCCAATATATACTTATATCAAGCACTATCGGTTTCTGAAATTATTTCGACTCGATCTTACTACTTTAAATTTGTAAGTAGTTCAAAATATTAAAGTAAAGTTTTACAGGGATATTTATTTACGTAGTCGGTGACTGAACTATGCTCAGTAACCTGAATTACTAAAAACTCTGTCTCTAGTAGATCATCTCCAACCTGCTCATCAGTAATATTTTCGATATTCTGATCAAGTAGTATATCTATTCTCAGAATTATTTTTTACTACTAGTGGACCCTTCCCTAGAATGACGAAATGAATCATACACTCGAAACAACTAGGAACGTCCACTTAGTTATCCTAGCAGGATTATATTTGTAATGGATTGGGCATAAATAACGTAAAGAATCGGGAACACGGTTTCTCGGTATCTATGGTTGCATTATGTTCAGAGCTGCACTCTGTTTTCAACCTTTTTAAGTTGCACTAATGGAAGCCTAGAATGCAATGCATATGCTTTGATGCTTTGTGTGATACACACATCAAAGGTCATACAGGTGATGGTTGGAGATGAAATGGAAATCTGGACCTCGGCCAAACTCGGACCAACAACCACCGAGTTTCCTGCCCGATGCTCTACAAACTGACCTACAATACCCCACTACTGACCGGATTTTTATTTGACTTCAATCACCTAGGATTTTTCCCGACTTGACGCGTTACTACCGCTTGATCGTATTCACACTGGCTGTCTAATCAGGGCTTCTCATCCCAATCGAATTGTAACTCAAATATAGAAGGGGAGCGTCATATTGATTATCATTTTGACCATACGACATAACCACAGTTTTTCAGACTAGTATTGGGTGAAACCGGGTGGTCGGGTTTCGAATCCGGTCGCGGTCCAAATTTTCATTTCACCTTCAATCATTACGCAGTATGACTACTAGTCTTCCAAACCACAGTTATCCAGGATAGTCTAAATAATAATCAATGTGATCCCACCCTCTCTATTTCAGTTACAATTCGATTGGGATGAGAAGTCCTGATTAGGCAACCAGTGTGAATACGATCAAGCGGTAGTTAATGCGTCATGAATTCACATGGTAGTTGAGCAAAACCTTTGGTGATAGGAGTGAAATAAAAACCTGGTCAGCAGTCAGGTATCGTAGCTCTTTTTGTAGTGCATTGAGCTGGAAACCCCGGTGGTCGGTAGTTCCAATCCTGCCGTGATCCAAATTTTGATTTGAAAATATTTTTTTCCAATTACTCGTCAACTGGTGTTAATCCGTGTTGAAAATTATTTTCATCTCTGTAAATGACTAGTAAGCAATCTCCATCAACACTATCCGATGTTAAAGATCTGAAGCATCAACTCTTGAAGAGTTTATTGTTGAATATCCTTACTCTTTCCAACTCTTCTAATCGATTTCGACATCTCTTAATAATCCTCTAGTAATCTAATTGTAATGTGTTGTTAGTATGACAGTTCGGTAAACCACTGTAACATCTTGCATATACTTACAACATGACTTTTCATTGGAGAATTCCGTAGTCAACTTTATATTATGCTTTGGTCACTGTTGGTGGATTATGCATCCTTTTATTGGATCGAGTTACTTTACTTCGTAACAAAAAAGAGATGTATTAACAAGAACAAGAGGGATCCAAAGGAAGAAGTAGCGTATAATGAAAGGTTCAAAGGCATTCAGAATTACGACAATATGAAGTAAATATTCATGACTATCTGTCTGGGATCTTAGGTTATATCACTGAGAGTTTCCAACTATTTGGAGAACCCTAACTATGCAACCTACACCTCCCAACAACATCATTCATTTGAACAGTTACAGAGAGTTCACTTTCTCTTGCCATTTCTAGGTCTAATCACCAATAACTGTATTTCTAACTAATCCTTCCCTACCTAAAACTGCATACTGAATCAGGCAATGAATTAGCATGCTCAACATATTTCACAACTATTTAAGTTGGTGCAGGTTTATCATAACCTCATTAACCGACTCATTTCCTTTGTGTAACACTCTATTCCTGACTTCAACACTTCTCACTACTATTCTGTTACTCATATCTTTTGATGTCTTCTATTGTCAAGAGATAATTTTCACAGCAGTACATTAAATACTGAGAGGATTACTTAGCGGTATACTTGCTTTGTGATATGTGGCAACACTAATATAAGTTGGTGAGTATCAGACTAGTGGAACATAGGGCTTCAGTAACACGTCTCCATTGCACTCTGTTCTCTGCAGTCTTTTCAACCTGGCTCCACAACTGCCCATTAGCTTTCATTTCTTCCTCACATGATATTCCCCATGTCACCCTCGTCTCGGACGCCCAACTGGTTTTCCCTTTGGATTCCACTAGAGGACCTGTCGCGCGATGTCTCCGAATGGCTTTCTCAGTGTATGTCTGATCCACCCACTTTCTTCTGCATATTTATTGGGCGATAGGTTGTTGGTTGGTTCATTTCCCAGTCAGAGTTCCTTGTTGCTTATTCTTATTATTCTGGCCATCTGATCTTCAGTAATGAGTGAGCGTAGGTGACAGTTGTTGATGAATGTCTGTAGTTTGTTGGAAATGCTTTTCATGACGCGCCAAGTCTCTCAACCATCACATAGAAGCACTGACTTAACATTGGTGTTGAAAACCCGGATTTTGTTCTTTATGCTGAGTGCAATAGATCTCCACACTGATTTCACATTAATAAAAGCCAGTCTGGCTTTTCCGATCCTGGATTTGACATCCTCATTTGCGCCGCCTGTAGTTGAAACGATGCTGCCTAGGTAGGTGGATTGGTGAACGAGACAACTTCCTTTAGATTTCTCCCATTCATGGTGACTGGTGTTTGTTGTTGTTGGTTGCGTATCTTCATCGCCTCCGTCTTCTCTACATTCACCTGAAGTCCCGTCTTCGCTGCCCTGCCTCTTCTGTCAACTTGTTGGTTTTCACCTGTATATCTTCGAGTTTGTGCGATATTAGACACAAATCATTTGCACAATCCAAATCTTCTGAGGCTTTTTCATCGGTCCAGCGTATGCTGGTCTTTTTGCTGCTCACCGTTTTCTGCATGATCCAGTCCACAACAATCAGGAATATCATCGGTGATAGTGGGTGGCAACCCTGTCTTACTCTTGCCTGTCTTCATTTCAAAGGCATCAGTTAGCTTTCCGTTGTGAAACACTTGACATGTGGCGTCCTCATATAGCTATTGGATCTCATTGATAAAGGTTTGTGATATCCCGCAGTGTTGAAGCTGCCAAATTACTTCGCGATCGATGCCTCGATCGAAGGCCATTTCAAAGTGGATGAAGTTGAGGTAGAGAGTTGACTGCCTCTCTATGCTCTCTTCTATGATGATACGTAGTGTAGCATTGCGATTTGATCCCTACATGATTTGATCTTCCTGAATCTAGCCTGTTCCGATCGTAATTTCGAATGCAGAGCATCGTTTAGTCTCTCCAGGATGATGCGGCTTACTGTTTTGCTTGAGGTGGACAGGAGCATGACTTCCCTTTAGTTCTTGCAAAGACTTAGGTCACCCTTCTTAGGGAGTTTGACGAGGTAGCCCTCCTCCCAATCAGCAGGTACCTTTCTTTCCTTCCTTTCAAACCTCCTGCAGTAGTGGCGTGAGCATGTCGGCTGTTGTCTCTGTGTCTGTTTTCAGTGGTTCTGCAGGAATTCAATTCAGTCCTGCTGCTTTCCCGGATTTCGACAACTTTACACCGTTCTGGACTTCACTTCTGCTCTTGACGAAGAGTTTATGTTCACTGACAGTTCTTCGACTGAGCTGCTGGTGGTATTTCTGGAAGAGTTGCAGGTGGTGGTGGTGGTCGATTCAAGAGTGTTTTGAAGTGGTCAGTCCATCGCTTCCATTGTTTCTCTTCTTTGGAAACCAGGTTTCCTTCACTATCTTTCATTAGTTTTGTCTGCGTTTATCTCTTCCCTCCCAGATAGTAGCCTGGTCATTTGATATAATGTTGTCAGGTCTCTCCTGCCTACAGCCTGTTCTGCTTCACTCGCAAGTGTGTCGTAGAAGTGTTTTTTGTCTTTGCAAGCACTCTGTTTCAACTCTTTGTTCAATGTGGCATTTTATAGGTTGTGTTGAGTTCCTCTTTTCGTTGTTCATCCATACACTACACTGCCCTGGTTTATCTTCTGCTTCACCATCTTCCTCTCCTCTGTCAGCTTTCATGTGTCCGTCGAGATCCATTCCATGCCTTGTCTTCTTTCTTCCTAATACAGTTACGCAGGTTTCCTTCCACATCTCTTTCAGAGAGTTCCAGTGTTGTTCCACGTGGGTTTCTTCAGGGATGTTGCTCAATGTCTTCTATTTTGTTCTGATGGCTGACGTGAAGATTTCCTTTGTAGTTTCGTCCTTCAGTTTCTGCTGTGGGTGTTCAACTTGAACTATGGTCGTCTATCACCGGCTTCTTTGAAAGTGGGTCCCTTGCATTAGATAGTCTGACGGTCGCACCTACATCTACTCCCCTTCTTGATCTTGTGTCCAGTAAGCTGCGCCTCAACTTTCTTGAGATTGAGATAAAGTCGATCTGATTTTTAGTGTAGTGTGTCCTGGTGTCTGGTGAAATCAAATCCATGTCGCTTTGTGAATATCCTTGTGTTTGTGCACACTGCCTCCAATCATCAAATCGTTGAATACGCAGAAGTCTGCAAACAGTTATCCATTCTCATTCATTTCACCGAGTGCCTGTCGACCCATGATTGGTTCTCTTCCTGTGTTGTCCGCTCGCAGTTTGACATTCCTGTCACCCCACCCATTAGAATTTGGATGTCGCCGTCTCCGTTGTCAAGTACTGATTGCAGTTGTCTGTAGAATTCCTCCTTTTTCTATTGATCTGCATTATTTGTAGATGCTTGGCGTAGCATTGTGACTTTCCTTCCTTTTGAGTTGAATCTTGCTGTCATGATCCTGATCCTGCAGGAGGAGACTGGTTCCCACTGCATGAGAGAGAGCCTTCGATGCTCTTTAGGACATCATGATAGCCACTCTGTGCTGGTGGTTGTCG